CACAACTGCAGGGCAGGTGCCCCAGGCAGGGTTGGGTTGTGGGGCTTTTTGTACAGATGGGACAGATAGTTTGACCCATCTCCTCACCAGTGACACCCATCTCACCATCTCCACCCATCTCTCAGCCACAGCGGAGCTTGGGAAAGGCAGGAGAGACTGAAACACAGGGGACAGCTGCCTGGGAAGGACAGGAGGTGCAGGAGAGCAGGAGGGCAGCGCAGGAGCATGCAGTGATGGAGCCAGGGCAGCCAGTTGCAGCAGATATTTGTAAGCTAAATTTTGAGGAGCTCCCCCTTCCTTCAAATGGCACCCATCGAGGCAGAGGTGACACAGGAACTCCGCCATCAACGAAGCCAGCAGCTGCCTTACATGAAGATGCATTTGGCCCAGAGGCTGAAGGTCCACATTTCTGGCCAGAAATCCGCCAATGGCACAAACCCTGATGTGGAACAGGTGCTTTCCCCACTAATTGCTACTGCTTAATCTGTTGGTTCTTATGAGGCCTCCAACCACTGCTGCCTCATCTCCCCCTTCAGCAGCAGGGAACAGTCTCAGAGGTACAAGTGACTGGTAGGGGCTGGGAGGATGCCAGCACTGGCCAAAATGCAGCTGAAGGTTTTAGCACCATCCATGGAAGGGGGAAATGAGCAGCCAAACATCACTGAAAGAAAAGAAGGGGCAGAGAGGGCATAAAGCAGCATTTTTTTTCACCAGTGTGGCTCATCGATAACCACGTGCTCACTCCTCTTTGACAGCAGCCAGGATGGGGAATGACAGAGGAACCTTCCCCTCTGGACAAGGGCATGAAAGCAGAGGCTGAGAGCAGGAAAGGCTGCAGGGTGGGAGGGGAAGGTGCTGGTCTGTGGAGCTGAGCTACAGGGAAGGGGAGAGGAGTCAGAGACCCCCATAGTCCCTCTCTGCACAAAAAGCACCCTCTGTTCCTCCTCCCACCACTCCTCAGCATCAAGAAAGGGACAGCAGACCACAAAACACTGGAATCGCTCTTCCCCCACTGCCAAGGTGGTCGAGGACACAAAACAGAGACAAAAGGCACTTTCCTTGGGCTTCTGCTGGTGGCTTGGACCCCAAATATGTGGAGGAAGAGCTAGGGTTTTTCCAGTACGGCACTACAGCTGAGTGTGTCCTACCACATCCTTTGCATCCAGACTGTTTTGCTATGCACCGCCCATCGCTTTTCACTGAAGTCAGAGCTCTGGAGCCTGGTAGCAGCTGGAAGCTGCGATACAGCCTCCCCCTTTGATCATATATTCTCTTTGGAGAATAGCAGGGAAGAAACTTATGCCCAGGGATCCTTCTCATGAAGACACTGGACACCTCTTTTTTGCTAAGGATCACTGTCATCAACAATAGAAACCAGAAGTTGTTCTTGAGGCTCTTCTCCCCAAACTACTTCCTCCTTTGAAGCCTTCTGATTCTTTAGCTGTCCCCAACTACCCAGCCCATCTGATGTTCACTAGCCTGGCACATTGCACCATGCTCTCACACAGCGTGAGCCTTCACCTTCAGTCTGACCTCTGCTTGGTCAATCCACAACACTGGTCCAACATGTTCTGACTGCAGCTCCTCACCTCAAACCCCTGCCATCAGCCCTGGGCACCACCCAACACAGAAGAGATGCCCCCTTCTTGAGTGATAACTTTTGCCTGTGGGATACAACAGGGATCTGCTGAGACGAGTCCACCTTTGCCCCTACCTACCTTGATGTATGTGGTCTGCTGAGTTTCCAAGCATACAGCCTGGCCAAGGCCAACCTTCCCCTCCCTCTCTCTGGTAGCACTCACAAGTCCTAGGGAGTCTCCAGAAGGGAAATCCAAAGGTGGCATCTATCTCCAGTAAAGATTGGACAGTGACTCCATTCTTGCTCTTGAACTTATTAGGGAAGAGGCTCCATTTAAATGTCACCTAACCCTGGCAAAGATGTAAACAGTCACGATTGCATTGGCTACACTCCAGCACCCACTTCAGCACAGAATTAATGACTACCCAGTGAAGTAGGACAACATCCCTTTTCAGAAACAAAAATGAAAATCCCAACACGGATACTCTCCAACAGCCTAAGTGCCCTCATTTGCATTATGAATGCTAGTTAAATACATACATAATCTTCTGCTATGGTACAACCTTTCTAAATGAATTCCAGTGATAGGAAAAACAGACCGAAAGGACCACCCTCTGATCCAGCCAGAGGAGCTGCATCCAGACTGTGAGCCAACGAAATGGTGGCTGTGGGGACAGAGAATTTCTTTCTCCACTGGAGGTGATGCAAGCCTTCTAGTATCTGGATGGGTTGATGTTTGGTCTCTAATGAATTGCTGACTTACAGGTCTTCTCTGCATAAGAAAGCAAACACCTCTACCAGTGCAGGTGCTGTAAAGCATCCGTTTTCTAGCAGCTCAGTGACTACCCCATGGTAGGGGGTAGTCAAGGAGCAACATGGAGGCAGCCTTGCCACAGGCAATGCAGAAGGAGAAGGGAAGTGCAGAGGTGGACTCTGGGAAAATGGCTCAACACATGCGGGCACAAGACAAACTTATCTGTTACTTGCAGCAGGGAGATGAAGAAAGAACAAAACTGTCCTGAGATAATGAGGCAAGATAAGGAGAGTCAAAGTCAGAACAAGCCAAGGGTGTATTAAGTGAGATGGGGCAGCAGGTCACGGCATGGAGGGGAAGAGAACAATGACAGCAGAAGCTTTCTCTATTCAGCCACATCAGAAGACACAGGTCTGGAGCAACCCACAAAAATCATCCATGCTACAGAAACTATTATCTATTTGACAGGTTTCAGCTGAGCTCTTGTCCAAACTACATATATGTCACACTTCTTGCTCTTCCAGGAATGAAGGAAGGGAGCTGGCTTCCCAGAAGGGCACAGGAAGAAAAAAACAAAGCAAAACCACCAAAGCTTTATGAAAGATAAAATTTATTGGTCAGACAGAATGACTTTGCCCCTTGCACTTCTTGTATCTGTCCATCACAAGGGAAAGCTGACTGTTAAAAACCAAACACACGCGTGAAAGTTGGCCTAGGGGTCATGGAAGACCACTCCAAGCCAAAGATGATGAAGAGCTGTGAAACAGGTCTCTCTCCAGGCAGGAGGGCAGTACAAAGCTCTCCAGGGGCTGCTTCAGTGACTGGTTAAGGGTTGAAGTGACAGTCCAGCCAGCCCCTCTCCTGCAGGTTCGGGCACATTTCCTGCACCCTTCCCCAGCACCGTACTTTTAAATTGATTCCATTAAGCCAGAATGTTAAGTTAAAACTTAACCTCAATTTAAACTTAATGTACGTGGCTTTGGCTTGCACCAGGAAGTTTACAAGGGCAAATCACAACCATAAAATAGTTTTAAAACAGTAAAACTTATCCATGCAGGACTACAGTTCTTGTTCACCAAACTGGTTCTACCTATGCCAGTGCAACATGGGTTTAAGATAAAGCCTTACTCCTCATTTTCGCCTGAGGTACCACATCTTACCCTTCAGCCTGGATGATTCTCCACAGCATTAGTGCTAATAACTCATGCAGAGGGATTGCAGGCAAGTTCATCCCTTCTGTTTCATTACACCAACATGACCAACTCCCAGGCGAGGACAATGTTGGAAACCCATGTCCCAGCCACCTGGGGAAAACCAGAGCTGTGGAAGGGCATGATCCAGCAAAGAACATACCTGACAACTAACCTGAGACATGACAGCCTTTTGTTCCAGTGCATAGGGGTTAGTTCACCCTAAAAACTTATGAACAAAAAGCCCACAAACACATGTCCATACACAATTAGAAAACATTTAATCCAGAATTTTAGAGACTTAAAAAAATAATTTATTTTAAAATAATTTTGATGTATGTGGTCTGCTGAGTTTCCAAGCATCCAGCCTGGCCAAGGCCAACCTTCCCCTCCCTCTCTCCATCATACTCCCTTCTCCCAACCACCGTAACCTTTTGTGCATGGTCCTGTTCCCAGACACATTCCAATGCACTCCAAGGAAAAGAAGAATGAGCAGCTCATTACAAGGAAAGAAATTTCAAACACGTGGCTCAGCAAGATGCTTCTTCCAAGTCCTTGGTGGTTTTTTTTTTCCCCCCCTCTCAGGACAGGCATGAACTCCTCCATGTGCTCCCAGCCTCCCACCACTTCAGCAGTTTGCCACTCGGGGCTCTCACTGTCCTCTGCCAAGATGGGATCAGCAGCATTTTTCCCACAAGCAGCAGGAAGGAACATTTGTTTACACTGAAATGTACTGTTCCCCTTCACTCTCTCCATTCCACCACAGTGGACCTTTGAACATTTGTGCAGCAACGTATTTTAATGATATGCTCAAGGGCAGCCATACTCTCTGTTCTGGTTCATATCCCCAAGTTTTCAGCAAATGCTCTGCCCATTTGGTGTGCCTGCAGCCAACGCCATCTTTTTGGCGCTTGTCCCACGTGAATCTCCTTTTTACCTTTGGCCATGTACTTGGCAGAGGGCTGGACCACAGAAGCCAAGTAAAGTGAGTTACCTAAACACTATCATAGGGAACTGCAAGGCCAATGTTGTAGTTGTAACCAGTCACTTCATCGTAGGAAGAACGGCAAATAGGAAGGACGCTTTCTACAGCTAACTGGTCCACTGAGAACTCGTAGGCATAAATGATTCCTCGATGCCTGTACAAAACACAACCAGGGGACACACCATTTTACCTTAATTACATATTTCAACAGAGGAAATGAACAAAGTTTGAGACTGCCACAAAGGATCAAAATTTGATGCTTCAGAAGCTCAATATAAAAACCTACCCCTTCTGCACTAGGACTGTCTGTGCAGTTTTAACACAGAAAACTCCCTCCTGCCTCCTTCCAGGGACCCCACCAAGCCCTGGAAACGAACGGTGAATCATTCACTTTAGCACTGCAGAGACATGACTGTCATCTGCTGAAACATTTCTAATCTATTCAGGAAGGGGGAAGATAAGTACATTGTAGTTTGATAGTTCAGTTACACATGCTAACAGCCATCTGAGATGCAAATACCAAAACCTGCAGTTTAAATACCAGTAGTTTTCCTTTAGGAGGAGATATCATTACTCATATTTAGAGCAAGGAGAGGGCTGCATTCCCTATCTGGCTTCAGTGGCCTTTACATTACCCTGCTGAAAAAGAAATGCTTTTTTTTCTTTTTTTGTGCTCAGAAGTAAATAAAGAGCCAATTCATCAATGGTTTTGAAAGCCTTGCCTTTAAACTTCTTTTATTTTATTTTTTAGATGCTATACCTTCTCTATTACTGCTCTGGATCATGAATCAGGTGCTTAGTGTGCCATTTAAAAATATATAATAAAGCAGATCTTTGCAGTGCCAAAAATCCTACCCTTCAGAGCAGAATTACTCACTTGCGGTGCGCGGTAAGGTCATCGTCTGTGATGCTGGCGCCTCGGGGAGTTTTCTCATCAGGGATGTTTGCAGTGATGAGGCTATGAGAATTAAACCATATGTGGCGGACTGGATGTCTGAAAAATAATGCACAGCACTGGGTGAGACGCCACCTGCATTAGACTCCTAAAATCTAAGTGCAGTAAAGGAATTGCTCTGGATTAAACAAGAATTCATTTAAATCAGCACCCTCACCACAGCCAGAGGCTGGGAACCCGCACCTTTGGCTCTTCTCCTCCTGTGTGGAGCAGATAAACACAGCTTTTATCCCCATCTAGTGGGCTGTTACCAGAACACACGTGGAGGCCAGAAAATATTTTAGACATTTGGCAGCGCACAGGCTGCAAGGGATCCGGGCTGCCTGCTTGCTTTGCTGCTTTAAGGACTGCAGCGGCACACTCCTAGGAAGAGCAGGATGCTTCCCAAGGTGAAGGACAGGGACCCCCAGGACCCCCATACCCCCAAGCACTGAGCTATGGCTGATTTAGAAATGCACTATACGGCACAAGCTAAGAAGTCTGGTCTTCATTCCTTTTCCTCTCACTGGTGAATAAACTAACCCTGAACCATTGTAAGGGCATTTACTGTTCAAGTAGGAGTAACTTATCTTCTCAGATCAAGATGGCTCATCTCCACAACCCTAATGTGTCTCCTGTCATCTCCCTTAGCTTCTGCCCTTGCTTTCCGTTCATGACACTGGGCTGTAGGCATGGATAACACCACACACACCTTCTTATCTATGAAGGCCTTTTTGATTGAAGCAATCCCTTTGATTCCTATATAGATTAAACAGTATTTTAAATGTTTAATCTAATGGCTTCACTTTTAGAACACTCCCAAAGCTCAGATCTGTACTGCCTGCCCTCCTTCTTGGCATGTTCATTAGTGCTGCTCCAGGAGACAATCAATGCAATATTGTCTTTAATGCATCAGCTGCATCACAACGGGCTTTATAATTCACAGGGTCAAAAGAGAAGGAGATACCCGCTATTAATCAATGACAACTCCAACTTGAACTTCTCTGACTGTAAATACCTCATAGAGCTCCTCTTTGGGGAAGATGCGTTAAAAAAAAAATATCAGGATTTATCTGTTCATTTTATTAAGGGTATCACTCAGACTTACAATGGGCTAAATCCTTGAGGTCTTCATTCAGAAAATCAGAAAATCGTAATTTGGCTGTAGCAACTAACAGTCTTCTGTCAACTCCAGGATACTGATCTCTGCTTGTACGTTCAGTACTGTACTTCTGGTGCTTTCAGTACAAACTGGTATTTTAATATTTAAATGAGTTTAAATACCAGCCTGGCTTTGATCATTACCACTAAGGGAATGCGTGAATGAGGTGAACAGAAACACAGGCATTGTGTAAGGATATAGTGGATGAAAACAGCCAGAACCAGTCACTCTGAATACAGGAGCCCAGCATTTTAAATCCAAGGTTCAATAAAGTAAATACTGGTTGGGGAGGGGGCAGGGAGAAGACACTAACGACTTCACAGAAAATCCAGGAGAAACAATTTCCATGCTCCCTTACGCTGACTGAAGCACTCTTTTTAACTAATGAGTAGAAAGCCGATGACAACTAAAGGGCACACACAGAAACACGCACAAGACTCCAGGTGGGGAAGCAATCTGTTCCCAAACCACATGAAAACTAAACAGAACTCTCAGAAGCTTTAGACACAGGCATGTTATCATTTTGGTCCTGGATCATCCCATTCCCACATTCCTCCTGTCAGCCAGATCCTTTGAAGACCCTTGCAGCAATAGGACCCCACGTGGACAAAATTACCTAGCATGCATTTCCCAGAGTTTGGTGCCCATCCGTTGGTCCCATACACAGACCAAGCCCTCTTCTCCTCCACTGACGATCTTCCAGTCATCCATCTGGACCGCAGACACTCCTAACTGGTGGGCATAGAGGGAGCACAAAGATTCGCTTTTGCGGAGATCAAATACCCTGACCCTAAATGAAAGCAAATAAAGAACAGAGATAAAAACAACTGTGGATCTGCAGCCTGTGGGTTCTGAGAGCACAAGTACTTCTGGGGTTATGAAAACATGTCTAGGACAGCAGTAGTCCCACAGCCACTACAGGGCCAGAAATCCAATATAGCTGACACTTTTCACCACTGAATTTTCACTCTACTATCAAAGATTTTTTGAGGCAGAGTTCTCCCACCATACGGGACCTCTCTGTTTCTTTACAAGTCCTAGGTGACACAAAATATACGTGAAATTCGGAGAAAACTCCTCTATCTGTGCCTCCCAAAACGTTAGCAATGCTGTGAGGCATAAAGTACCGTGCTTTGGGCATACTGCTAACACATCCTACCCCTTGGTACCTAACCTACGTCCACTATGGCCAACGGGTAATATTATTATGGAATAATAATTTCTTTCCTCAAGGAAAGGACTGTTATTACAAAGATTTAGGAAGAGACTAAATGTGTGGCAATTCAAAAGACAAGTCAAGGGAATTACGGGTTTATACACTTGAGTTAAGCATCCAGCAATCAGTATCTCTTCTGATTTAGAAAACGCAACTACTGACTGCAGGCAGCTTTTAGGTACATCAGGTTTTCAGAAAGTATTGATCACTCACACCAGGCATTTTGAAGAGAAACGTACTGAAGACTCGGCTAGAAGCAGAACTGTAGAAAAAGAGCTTAGGATTTCAACCACTGCAACAAGTCCACAAAACCAGTTAAAGTTAATGGTGTTAAATTTTAAACCCAGTACATATCACAAATGAGTAGGTTCTTTGATCCTTATATATCAAGATTAAGAAATAAAGCAAAGCACATAAGTGAATAAAAAAAAAAAGAAATTAATGAAAACAGAAGGGGAAATACTGATCTCAGATTTGAAAAGAAGCTAGAGGAAGTTCCTCCCAGCTGATGGCTATCAAGAATGAAACCATCAGGTACACATTAATTCCAGAAAAGGCCGAAACACACTTGATCCAACACATTAACTGTACTTTACTCCATACCCCTGCTACGCTCCTAATGGTGTTGCAAGTCTTTCCTTTTCCTTTCTCAAATGGAGATTGCATCACATGATTTTACAAACAACACATTTCAGCAACTGAAATAAAAGGCAACAGAACAGTCCAAAACTCCAACAGAGCAACATCCATCTGACATGCAGACAAACATGCTGGAACAGAGCGAGGAGCACGCTTTGTGTGGCTCCGCGCTCACCCCTAGGAAAACCCCATCACAACAGTTGCTAATGGCAAAAAGGACTTCTTGCTTTCTCCAACTCCAGCAGAGAGCAGCTTTGGCTACATATTAGAGCTACGCTTTGGGTTAGGATGGGGTATTTTGGAAGCATTCACACCCAGCACCCTCCCTGTCTTACTGCATGAGTTCTGCACTGCAATCAAAGCTGCTTCTGTTCGGTAAGCACAGTTGGAAACGAAGATCTGATTGTGTCCTGGTTATTTCATTAGCAAGGGCCCAGGTTTCAGGCAGGTGTCTATTCTGGCACACCCTTGGAAGAATTAGAGGCACACTTCAGTTGTTTAGATGTGCTTTAAAAAAAAAAGGCGGCAGGGGGGGTGGAGGAAAGCATTTTGCAAATCCAATGTGATGCTCTAATGCAGACCTGGCATGGCCCTCCATCTCCTGCCTCAACAGCTGGGCTCAGTGGGAGCACTTCAGACTCATCCGAGTTCAAGGGAGCTGTAAAGAAGGTGTTCTCGTGACCAGGCTTTGACTCTCCTGTTAAGACTCTCTTAGCTCACTTGCCTTTAGGAGAGCATGGCATACACGTTTTGTTTTGATCCACACTTTTCAGCAATGGTACACACTGGGCTTGCCGTATGTTTGCTTTCCCAATGCTATTCACCACCTTAAGTTCCACCAAGAAAAAGGCTGCTGTTGTGCAGTGCATCAACACACACTCCCTGTTATCAGACCTCTTGCCAGTGTGAAGCACAGCTAAGTAATCAAATACATCAGCAATGCTTCAGGAGTATTTTTTGATAGAAAAAGATTTCATAGGCCTTACCAAAAACATTTCACTTCAACAGGGTGGTCTGTGTTACTTTTCAAAATCACAACTTTGAATAAAACAATAGCATATACTAGTAAAATTATGAAAGTGCTATATTTAATTCAAGCAATACATTTCCCCACTGGTCATCAGCAGTTTGAACTCACATGGCAAGGTCCCTATTTAGTACACTTGCTCCATAACAGAGCTATGGAGGTTCAAGCCACATTCCATCTGTGGATGCCCAGCGCCTAGTAATACCCTTCATGCAGCACGACATGAGGAACTGACCTCTGAGATACATGTGGACTTGTTTCCTGGATGCCAAACTTATTTGCTGACCTATTGATTCCTAACTTCTTGCTATTTTAGTGATGGCCAACCCCTGAACTCAGTCAATGCCTGAGCTGAAAAACTGAAAAGCTTTCTGGAGGGGAAAGGGCGCAGACATTTACTCTAGTATGAAGGGAGTAAATTTCAATCTCAGTTAAGGGATATCAACTTTATCTACTCTCCCATCATTGTGCAAGAGATCAAAACTGGAGGTAGTTTTACTGGGGTGCTTTGGAAAAATCAATTATCTGCTTTTAGAGGAAAACTCCCAAGGATTCAATTACATGTGTCAAACTTCAGATATTTCCTTTATCCTCTTTGCTGAGAAAGTGTGAGGTTTGCTTGCACTGCCTATTCACTGAGAAGAAAAAAAGCTGTTTGACAAAATAATCATTTTTGCAAGCTGCTGCACTGGCGGGACAGAGGTCTGGGATTTGGCAAAGGGAAGTATCCGCCTTACAATCTGATACCCACCACCACACCAGACCACCACCTGCAGCCTGATGCCCAGTGCAGAAAGGAGGAGGGAAGGAACAGGGAGCCATTAGACACTGGCTCCTCGCCATCCCACATCTCCTTTGGTGCACTGGATCAGACCCCACAAATAACTAGCCAAAAAAAGAAAATCTAAAAATTGGACTCAAAGGGTCCTTTTAAGCACTTTAATCCTTTCGCACTGACTGTTCCCAGCGCGTCCGTCCCTGGCACCAGATATTGTGCTGGGAAAATCCTACTCCCCAAGCCAAGGAGTTAAAGAGAAAGCTGCTAATCAGCTAAATAGAAGCTGGAATCTGTTCATATGAAAGTCTCTTTTTTTTGTCACCTGAGGGACATCACAGTGTTCTGAAATACACTCTTGACATCATTTGGCAGACGGACCCATCTCATCCTACATGATTCATCCCTTAGGTTATTTTTTTAATATCAGAAAGTGAGCTTTTAAATGCCAAACTAATTTTGCGGGTGGTGGTGGGGAAGTGGAAGATATTCCAAGTGGTCTCGCTGGGCTGTACACCAACTGCGTCCACCAAATGGCTTAAAAAGAAAGTCTTCCCATGGAGCTTTCTGAAACAAAGCAAACTGGCAGCCACATCCAGCTATTACCTAATATTTTGTTCCTGAAGTTCACACAGGCTGCATTTGAAACATTAGAGGAGAAAAATTGTAGCAGGTCCAGATGTAGGACAGCAGGACAGGAAGTAAGCTAATTTGAGATGGGTTACAGCTCTTGGTAGTACCTACCTTCTGTCTTTATTGCCTGTAACAAGCATGTTTGGAGGACTGTTCTGGAGGTTGACACACGTAAAATCACCTATTGAGTTGCCCATCTTCTTCAGACACTGACTTGTTTCCAGATTGTAAAGAAGAATCTGGCAGAAAGAGAACAAACATCGGCTAAATGTAGCGTGAGCACAACTGCATTTTGCTGCAGCATAAAGTAGAGCAGAGTTATTACCATCAGAGACAGTTTGCAGGACTCATTTCTCAATATGCTAATACATACCAAGATACAGACCTACCCCTATTAAGAAGGGCAACACCACCCTCAGAAATAAGGAAATCAAGTTTCACAATGGAATCCATCAAGAAGCAGGGATGCAAGGCTCTTGCCAACCAGTATCAGATAGGTATAGTTCTCAGGCAGGCAAAGCAAGCAATACAGATTTTCTCCAGGTCAAATTTTTAAAGCTTACATGGAAAAGCAAATATAGTTTCTTCATCAATTCTAATATTTGAAAGAATAGTAAAAGTAAACAGAATCAACATTTAGAAGGTTTAGACAGATGGACTGTGCAAGAAAGATTGAATCAAATACAGCAAAATGAGAGCAGAACTGAACACTGGCTCAGCGCTGACAGGCCCTGCTGATAGCTTTTGTACAGATCATGCGGCAGCAACAGATTAAGAGAAATATTACATGTGAAGTGGCAGTTCAGATGGGAAAGGAATAAAAACAACTCTGATTTTAAGCAACATCCAAGATGATTCGACCAGAGACTGGAAGAGAGGTACGAGTTGTTTCCCGTCTGTTCACCCTCTTCTTCTTTGCACAGCAATCAGTTTAATCATGTTCACTGTCTTTCCTGTGGGGCCAGATGAGATTTATCTATTTGGGCCTTTCAATTTAGGAGAGCAAGTATTTTTAGAAACACAAAAATGTACTGGTCAAAGCCCAGTGGAGCTCAGCACAGTACCTGGTCTTACATAACTTGATAAACATTATTAAATTTCATGGTGATGCTCCTTTAGTTTAAAAGAAACCTATGACCATGTAAAGAATAACGGTACTTAAAACATCAGAAAAAACTTCTGGCTTCCATGGCAACATCAGCATGGCTATGTCAACATCACATCAATATTCTTAATTTCTACTTTTCTGATTATGTCCACGTGCAGCTTAATAAATATTACACTATCTGTACATATTATTTCAACATTTGCCAGAACAGGGATAGTAATGCTGCCTGGCCTTTTACTTCCTATCTCTGCAATTTTAGTAAGCATCTGAAAGGTCGAATTAAGAGAGCAGGAGGGGATCATTTTGTGATGGACGCCTCTAGGCAACAAAAGTGAAGCTTTAAAAATCTCTAGGAAGACTGCAAAGAAAGGCAGAGAATTTGCAGGTTTCCTCCACCTGCCATTTCTCCCAATTAAAGAGCAGGCATGGTTTTATTCAGACATATTATCAGCTCCCTATTAGAATCAACACATTCATACCCTACTTCCTCAGTTTCTTACGATATTTATAATCTCCTAACTAGTTCCCTTTCCCAGACTTGTCTTTGTGAAGCTATCTGCCTCCAATACCAGTCTTTAGCATGTAATTTTTCATCCTTAAGACCCAAAAAACCAAAGCAATTTTACCCAAGCTCTGTGAAGCAAGGAAGATTCTACCTTTGCACGGAGACTTAGGACATAAAAGTTGCTAAAAAATTAATTTGAACTTCCATACCTACAAAAAAAGTTGCTACAAATCGTATGAAAATGTTAGTCTTGGAGGTAAAGACCAATTTACAGCCTGTTCTCACTTGCAGCACAGCTTCCAACAGCTCACTAACCAAACCCAGAGATAATGACATTCTGGCAAAGGTACTTTGCACAGTTTTCAGTGCAAAGGAAATTAATATCTGTGCCTGGCAACCAAATTTCTCCTTGGAAAGTTTTGAACAAAAGACAAAGTCAATAAACTGCTGAATTCAACTTAGGAACAATAAACGATCAGGTCAACAGCAGCGTATTCCAACTCCCAGTTGAGCTTCTGAACCAGCCCTTCCCAGCTGTACGTTAAAACTCTGGAGAGAAGAGGGCCAAATGCTGCTTTCTCAAAAGTCCTCTGGGGCTAATACTTAAAGTGAACATCCATAAACTATTAATTTATCTAAATGACCATAGCTCCCATCTATCCTATAAACATATGATACATACTTGAAAATTCAGTTATGGCCATGAAAGACTATAATGAAAAATTGCTTCCACGTAGCATTTAAAGATTCCCGTTTTACTGGAGCGAATGTTACATATTCTCCTGCTTGCAGTCTCAATTTTAGACCTGTGGCAATCCTCATATGTAGGTAGCACTAGCTGAAAAATTATTTCTTTCTCCTCACGTAACTTGCATATGGCCACCAATTGAAAGTGTTTGCATCTAAGAAAGAGAACCTGCAAAAAAATAAAGGTTCAGATCCACAAAACTGGAAGAAAAGTTTTTGTCTTATCTTCTCCTACCCCCTCCAATTCCTTCTCTTCTCATGTCAGTCTCCATTCTTTTAAAGATTGTTGGGTTGAGGTTTTTTAAAATGTTATAACGCACACGTGTATTTCTAGCCAATTAGCCCTATCACTGGAAGAAAGATTCTCTTTGTGATTTTCGGTATCCAGGTTTTACCTATCTTTAAATTCAACTTCTGTGAGCAATTTTATGGCCTGCAAATGAATTTCAAAACCTTACCCTTAACAAACTGACAGGTAAAGAAACAAAAAGAACTCGGAACGCTTTTTTAAGTCTGAATAATAATTTCTTGAAGACAGGGGTTTTAAAAACATACTGATGACAATTTTGAAGTTGCTAAAACACTTCTGATGATCTCTCCTATAATATCCCAAGGCAACAAGGATTTTCTTTACAAAGGCCAAGGAGAAAGAATGAAAATACCTGGTCAATAGGGACTTGAAATAAGGGCCTGTATGTTAAAGGGCAGATAAAGCATAAGATCTTTAGGAGGTTTATAATCCTATAATGCACACTGCAAAGGGATTACCCTTTTAAAGATATTTATAATCCTATAATGGACACCCAAGACCAGTGACCTAATAGGTACCGAACTGAAGGTAAGTGAACGAAGAGCATTTGGGTGTGAAATGAAGTACCCTGGGATAACACACTAACGAGCATCCCTTCCCCCAGTGGGACTTCAGGGACACAAGGGAGGAAAAGCATTAAATACTCCGTGCAGATATATCAGGATCTAACACACAAAATAAAAAGTGTTACCTATTAACATTGTTCAAATGAAAAAGCCTAAGTTATTGGATAAGAGCCAAGCAATCTCCCAGAATGCTTAATAATTCAACAAGCCAGAAATAGCCAGAGTACCTTTACCATTATGTTTAGTTAAAGACCACAGAGATTAGAAAACACATTATCCATCTCAGAGGCGATTCTTTCCATGTTACAAGTCCCTTAACGACCTTTACCATCTCTCCCTCTCTCTCTCTCTCTTTTAATAAGGCTGAGCAAATGGGACTTCATTTTATCCGATTGCCACAGACTAGTGGTATTAATTATTCATGCTCATACTCTCTCTTTTGTTAAGGCAGTGCATTAGACTAATTTCCCTCTTTACTGTGTGAGTTGGGCAAGTCTCAACCTGTGGCCACTGTTCTTAGATAGATGCGCCAAGATGCTGGCAAATTCATGAGACGAGGCAGAGGGAGAAAGGAAAAGTTACTGTACTTCATGAAACTGCAGAGCAGTGGGTACGGGGAACTCTCTTTAAATGCTGTCCAAGAACTCAAGAAAGAAGACTAAGTTAATTCACAAAGAATTAAAGTCTCTGTAGCCAGAATAGCTAAGCTGTGAGCGTTGTTACATCCTGCAGCTAAGTGAGGTCAAGCGTGGTCGATGTACTCTGGTTGAGATACTTCCAAGAAAAACCAAGGAATTGAAGGAAATGCTGTTGATGGAACTCCTCCATGCATGTCCAATACCCCAGCAGGTGTTTTGGGATCCTGTGTTGTTGGAGATGTCTTTTTTGGATAGAACATTAAAACAACAAATCCCCAAGCACTTGTTATCAAAGAGCCTGTGGTACTTTCAACAAGAGCAGGGGTGTTCAACCCACTGTCCTGGCTGAAAGCCAGCAGACAACTGCTTTGTGAAATAGCTAGTTTCCCTCTGCAATTGCATTTCTGCTTCTTGTCAAAAGTTACCACATCGCATGGCTAGTAAAAACTGAGCTGTCTCTCAGAATTGGGCAAAGCACTCTGTATATACAGTATATTTAGTTCTTATTTAGATGAAGTATTGAACAGAGTATCATAAATATTAGCAAAAAGTACACTGTAAAACCACACTCAAAACCTACATCCTTTTCCTTACTGAATAACACACAGGATACATTAAAGAACCACTTTCTTAGAAAGAACCATCTAGGACAGAGGTTTCTAACTGTAATTTTAGAGAAAGAGGACCAAAATTTAAAAAAGAGTTGCCCAAAGAGGCAGAGGAACAAGCAGCAAGACCAGGAACAGAATTTGCATTTATTTTCAGATTATGTTTCTCCCCCTTTCCTTCTGTCCATCCCTCTGCCAACCACAAAAAAACATTGCCTGAATACACACAAATATTGCCAACAAAAGAAAGGGTCATGAAATTTCAAGTCCACCATGAATAAAAAGGGATCTGGTTTTTGCTCAGGTCAAAACCATTCAATTCAAAAGGTATCTACAAAAGCGATAAGGCGATTTCATCTGCATTTGCAGCAGAAGTCATCAAATTAAGTACAACATATGGTACACACTGCTGCAAGTTTGAATTTTATTTCTAAAGGGATGTGAAAGAGAATATTTTCAAAGTCTACAGGCCTCAGGGGCACAGTTTCCCAGTGCAAATGTACTGAATTGCCTACTGTAAATATGGAACATAACACTGCAACAACAACAAAAAAATCTGACTATTAACAAATGCAAGGTCAGCATATTGATACTTGTACACAGAGGTAAATGTTCTGGCTCCGTAAATTTAAAGATGAGCTAAGATTTAAAAGGAACAGCTGAGGGAGACAGACAGACAATCAGACAGAAAGAAAAAGAGCAAATCATACACAAAACAGCCAGTAAAAAAAAAAAAAATTAAAAAAAGCAGTTAATATACATGAATAATGGATGTTTGATTTAAAAGCAGTTTACTCCAATATGATGTAATTTTTGACAATCAGCCAGAGAGACTATTTTGCAAGCTCTTGCCAGATATAAGTCATTGTGTAAAGCTGGTAACACAACCATTTCTCTGAGCATGTGGAAAATTGACTTTCATGCCATCCTAAAGGTGACTTTACGCTGGCAAACGAGAACTCTTATTTTGCATGTGCTGAGCTGCACCAAGCAGCCTCAAGCAATGCTTAAAGATCCACACAGAGGACTGCAAAAATAACAGTCTAAACAGCTTGCAGCAAATCCAGCAGCAAAAAAAGCCAGCCATGCACACTACCTGGTCCTCCAAATATCTACACGTGCCATAAAAGTTACACATGAAGCTAAAGACAAGTGTAGTTTGGTTTTTCCTTTTAAAGTTTTCATCTGATTGGAGTTAAAAAGTAAGACTCCAAGCTGGCAGCAAGAAGTAGAGCCAAGCATTGTGCAGGCAGGCAGTGCACAAGCTTCAGCAACGCAATTCTGCCAACGCACCTGCAACCCTTGCTGTTCCAGCACTGGACACTGCCCGAGCCCGGGCTGCCAGCAGCCAGGACTCTGCCAGCCTTGATGGGCTTGTGATGTGGACAGATGTCTGCTAGGACCTGGAATGAGGTCACCAGACTCATTTGACTTGTGGCTGAAGACTGATGTAAGAGTTCAGGTACCCAGAGATGAAAGGATACTATGTCTACCCACTGCACCACCCACTCACTAAAAAACAAGCCCTAGCCCAGAAACACATTTTCGCTAACCTAAGGTTAGGACAGGGAAAAGGAAGGCAAGGTAATTCTAAAAACTGAATGAATTCTCGTCATTCCATAGATTATCACCTTGAATACTCATGGCACATCCCAGCAGCTATATTTTCAAAACCTGAGACACCTAAGCAGCTGTGCCAATTTTGAGGTACTCACATTAGCCAATACAAAAGGGATTCTTTTTTTTTTTTTTTTAACTTGCAAAATTATTTCTGGTCATTTACAAACACAGGAAAACAGAGATGGACAATTGTTACTTTTCAGTGAGAGGGGTTAATCGATATTAATTGATATATCATGCAAAATTTAGGCAGGGAAAACTTCTGGTCTCTCTGCTGGACGGCATACAAAAAGTTACATAGTTCAGATCCTCAGAAAGAGTTCTGTCTCTCCTGCATGGTACCAAAGAGTTTATAAAGAAAACTATTTATAACACCTTTCACTTTCAAAGATCTGCTAACACTCTATAGTCCTACAAACCCCCAAAGAGAAACGTTTCGGCAAGTCCCATACATTCAAATGCAGCCACCAGTAAGACCTGCCCTTCTACTGGTATGAAAACAAGAGTTCATAAAGATCAATTTATTGAAAACAGGACTATTTACAAGGGGCACAGTGGTTAACAAAACTGAAAAAACCCCACATTATTAAAACAAGAAAAATCAAGATAAAAAAAATTTGAAGTCTTTGGAACTCCACGAGAACTAGAGACATTACAACACCAGAAAAGACAATGCAAGCTTACCAGTTAACAAAGAGGAGGATTTTAGTTAAAAATAAGGTGTAAGAAAGACATAACGGCTTATATAAAGCAGCTATGACCTAAATACATCATCCAAGAGAGACTGCAGAATATGAAATTCAATTTAAAGGATTATTTAAAGTTTGTTTTCACTTACTATTAGTTCATAACATCCATTTCAAGTGATTAATTCTACTGGACACACATTAGCAAGCAGTTGAACTCTGTGGAAACATTAAATACCGGAGCAAAACTAGGCAGTATTTCAATTGCTGATGAGAAGAGACAGGTGATGTTGAATGCCATTCATCAAGTACAAGCCAATCACCAGCTCAAAACAGATGAAAACACAACAGCATAACAAACAACTCCCAAGACATCTGATCTCAACATATCTAGCCTTCTACAAACAGTGAGATAATTGCTTCAGAAATCAGTTGATGTTAATCCTGACAAGTTATGGTGCTACCTGTTTAAGAGGTTTATATCCTGACATGAAGAGAACCAAAGCCAGCTCTAGTTTAAATCTGTGGATTTAATTTTACATATAATGCTCAAATCCAAAATTCAAACATGTGAATGCCAAGACTTTGCGATGCTGCTGCAGCATCAAGATCACAGGTCTCCAAACTGCATGACGCAGCGTAATATGTTATTTGCTAGACACCATCCTTCAAGGCATGTCCACTGGATGCCATGAGCACCACTTTAGGTTGAAAGGGAAAGCTAGGGTTAGGGTTTTCCCTGTGGTTCATTATCTGCCTGTATCATTAGCCATGTATGAGCCTAGATGGGAACACAGATCTCAATATTTCAAGAATTTGGAATTTAAGGAAAATAGTACATTCCACATTGAGTTAATACAGCTGAAATAACCCTTACTAAAGAAATTTCTCGTAACATAAAACAAAGAGGTCCAGGAGCACTAAACAGACGAACTTTCAAGAAACAGCATCATACTTGGGTTGTCTGATGCTTAATGAAGTGAAAGTTGAGCTTCTCATAGATGAAGCATTTATATTCTTCCCTCTCTCCCGCACAGATGTCAGTCATCTAACAGTAGGCAAGCCTATGCCACAGATTTTATGTTTTTCTCCTCTCTGACATAGAAGTCCCTACAAAATTTATGCCTCGGATCTCTACTCTTGTCAAATTTCGTTCAAATTAAACAACAATTAAAAAAGAGAGAGGGAAAAAGATGGTTTCCCTAACTATACTTTCATCAGAAAGCAGGTTACTAGGTAGTAGCATTAGGATTGTGAGTTTACACTAAAGAAAAAAAATATGCCTCAGGAAACACAAAGAAAACCCCAAACTGCGAAGAAACACAGCTTTTGCACTACAGCAACACAGCGAGCAGCAAATGGGGCTGGAATTCTTCATCATTACGTTTCCGAGACCAAAAGCTCTCCTAAAGACAGATTGTCAACTTGTGACCAGTGTAATCAGCCAATGTGAAGTCCCTTCACGTCTGTGCAAGGCGAATAATTATCATAATAGACATTAGTAATTAATTTCCGGCGTGATGTCAGCTGGTGCGGCAATGCCAAGCAAGCGTCCTTGTCAAACACACCCCAGCCGTCTGGACGACTTCAGTCCCATCTCCCTGATTAGGATGCGCACTGATGCACTGCTTAATACAATCTGCCATCAAATGCCAAATACTTCAGAACTAAATTAGGAAATATGTCCGGCTTTACAGAGTGACGCTCAGGGGCCTAAGTAGATTTCTCTATTCCTTTACGAGGCACAAAGGTGATCACCAATGTAATGCCCCTGAATGAGGCAATTTTACCTTCTAACCTCCCACCTCTGTAGGGCAAAGAATTGGATTAGGACAGCAAAGGAATTAATAAAGACAGCATGGCCTCGCAGCATCTCTCAACCCTAGAGGTATTTATGGTGGCCTCAGCATTTCCCTAGTGAACATGAATTTTAAGGGAAAATTAGATGCAGCTGGACACATTTATTCCTAACACAGAGGTAGTCCTAAATAAAGCTTTCCTGCTCTAGTCGCTTGCCAAAGAAAACACTGCATTTGTACACTACAGACCACAGGTCCTTTCATCTGGTTGCTCACCTCCTGCTTCTTTCTCCACCTGCCTGAAGCACTCTCCTGCTCTCTTTGCTGATAGCCAATCACATGCCTGAAGTATAACCACAAAAAAAAAATTGAACGAAATTAGGGAATAGGAAAGCTAGGCAAGATGCAGGAAAGGGACAGAAACTCTTCTCAAGGCATCTGGAAACAGGTCTTTCCGCAGCCTGGTCCCTGCCCTGGAGTGGGGCTGTGACCAGGAGCAGGGCTGCTGCCACCAGCTACCTGGGATCTCAGGATTCAAAGCCCCACCAAAATACAATTATTTATGCTACCTATTTGGGTCTGCAAGCCCAAAATAGCCCCTCCTGCAAGCAGAGAAGGTTGAGAATAGCTGCATTAGAAGCATGCCTCAGCCATGAGTCTTCAGCAGGGTTACAAAATCGGTCTGGTTTTGACCTACCCTGCCACTGCTAAGATGTGCTGATAAAAGGTCACAGGGAGCTTCAAACCTATGATTATCATTTAGCTTCCTTTAATACAAGTCACACCATTCTCCCCAAATTGGAAGTAACTTAGTTCAGATACTCAAGCGTGCAAAAAAAAGAAGCATCCTCCTAAGATGGCACATTTGCATGTACAGGGCTTGACATGCTGCTCAGGATATCCTCATCAGAAATGCTGAGGGATGTTTTGGCTTTTTGGGGTGAGGTTGTTTATTGGGGTTTTTATTGGTTTGGGTTTTTTGTTTGGTTTTGAGACAAGTTCCCCTTAGAGGACCACTGATGCAGCATACAGCTGAGTAAGTTGGGACTAGCTGAGGAGCAGAGAACACAAAGTATTCACAGCGAACACAGTTAGCTGAACAATAATCCCTTACTTCAGCCCACTGGAAGAAAACTAATAGAAGCATCAGATTTTTGCATTAAAAACAAAGTCTTCCCTCTACTGTCAAAAGCTGAATAGCAGGGAAGGAAATGGTCAGTAGCGTGAACTCTTTTTGCCTTTGTTAATTATGAAGGTATAAAAATCTTACAAAAAAAAAATTAAATACCTGGTTGGGTTCATTCAATAACCAGCCAAAGGTTTTGACCCCAAAGGCTGCTTCATGAGCAGATACGTCAAGGCATGTGACAGGCTGACCATAGACAGAATGGAGGATTTTGCCAGGATCTTCTGCTTTCAGGAGATAGACAATGTCTTCTGCAGCTGCTACTGTCACTGGACTCCCCGTAACATCTGGAACCAGATTAAGGAAGCTGACCTAAAAAGAGCAGACTTTTAATTTTTATTACAGCCAAAAATTCTTTTAGATCACTACTGCCACACGCTAAACTGAACAAACTACATGTGTGGTTATCGGCTATCTTGAATCATCCCAATTATGGATTAGTTTCAGGCAAAGACCAACTATCAATTTTATTTCTGAACTTTTGCAAGCTTAGCTCCTATGATGAAATCTAGCTCACAGTCTTTAGAATGAGCCCATTTTAAAAAACTGATCAAAACACATTACAACAGAACACAAAATATCACATCAAAGAAAGGAGCAAGACTTAATGGACTCTTCAGATGAAGGACAGAAAGCCGTTAAGGTTAAAGCACACAAAGCAAATATCATGGCTGGAATGTGAATACAGTGCTCCAGAAGAGGCACCACATTCATGCAACTAACATGGAATAGTTGATGCTTGCCCTGAAATCATGTATATATACACCCTAAATCAACAGAAAAGTCATCACATTACTCTAGGACAACCCAAGTATCAGCTTCCCTATCTTCTGTCACAAGACCAGAATGATGTTGCTCTTCCCGTTTCAGTAAACTGTTAAGACATTGCTGAAAAGTCTCACCACGGGAAGGGTTTAAACTCCTTAACAGCACAGCTGATTTCTAACTCAACCTTAGAAGACAGTGTGGTGTCCTGAATGTCTGTCTGTCACGTGGCAAACTGACATTTCAAAGCAAGCAAGATACAAGAGTAAAACGGATCCAACTACAGCGGAACAGGTGGTGGTGTTTCAGCATTTCTATTGGGAAACCTCTTAAAAATAAAATCCCCAAACATTTTAAGTATTGTAAGACTGACTTAGCTTTGAAAGGGGATTAATCAGGAGTGGTTTAAATCACAACTTCATAACCATTAGCTGAGCAGGAGCTTCTTGCAATAGGAGACAAGCCGCAAGAGTCAGTTTATTCCTAAGCGCTTCCTTCCCCTTTCAAAAAAATGTCGATACTCTGAGACATAATAAAACTTCAGAGAATGGAACAGCTTTTGATTTTTAATTAAAATAGTCTCAAAACTTCAGTGACAGAAGGTGCAACCTAAAGAAGCTGCACAACTAGTTACAGCTTCACAAGTGATACTATTAGCTCGTCTGCAATATCCTGCCTCAGAATTAATCAGATAGCGTTGATCTGGAATGAGACCTTGAGTTTTAGCTCCAATTCTATGCGAGAAAACTGATTTACAAAATGAGCCAACTTAGTTTGATGTTGACAAAAAAATAATTAAAAACAGCCAACCTCCTGCACCATATGGACTTCTATTCATTTTCACTTGTAGCTTAAGCCAGCATTTCACCCTTGCTCTTCAGTGATGAAAGGCTTGTCCATTAACCTGCTTCAAAATCACAGCCTCTTGCTGATAATGCTGTTATCTAGTTCAGGCAACACTCTTGTAAGATTTTTGTAAGATCCCTCTTAACCATACCAAAACTAATTAGTGGATCAAGAGCTCCTGGAATGAAGCTGAGTAGCCTGGAAACTCACCAATTTCTGGATTTCATATGTTTCTGTAGTTTGCCAGAATCCTCTGTCATTAGGGCTTTCCACTTTGACCTCGAAGCCAGATGCCGTTGCTACTGTTGCACCCTCTGAACCAAGAGCTAAAGCCTGTATCCTCTGATTGTGCTGGTAATGATGGATTGGCTCCCGCCCGAACATCAAGTTCCACACACTAACAGTTCCTGTATACAAAAAAAAAACCCCAAACCCCATTATGCTTTACCTTAGGATTTAACAAAACTTTAAAAGACCATTTAAAGATGTAAACTTATAAGCATTCTAATGGAAAAGGTTAACATACATAAAAGACTGTAAGGCAGGAAACCAGAACTTCAGGACGCTGCACAGCACCACATAACAGGTTCAGAGGAAACTTTCCAAAATTACGGGTTCTGGCATTAGAGGCTCGTTGCTCTCTAAATAACTCCTAATTTTTTACTTTTAGATAACATTGTTATCTACCTTGAGGAAGACTGCTTGAATTCTCTCACTTTTCTACATTTGGAGAAGGTAAGACTTAAACAGACACCTGAATTTTTATTCTACTATATACTCCCCCTCAATTACCACTAAAAATAGTGAGGAAGAAACCACACTCAAATTTAAGTCACTGCTGCACACAGAAAAGTTTCAAAGTAAAGAGTCTGAAGCTCTGCATACAGCAATCAGGCCAGGGATTTTAATACCATTCTTAAACAGTTTACAACCAGCAGCAAAGCTTCTAATCCTGATGCTCTGGAAAAACAGAAAAGGCAAAACAGTTCAGTGCTTTCAGAAAGCTAAAGAACACAAGCCCCAAAGAACACAGGAGTACAAGTCAAAAGACAATACGTTTGCAGTTGCATTTTTTCCTGGCACAGATCACCAGATACTCTATTTAAAAGCATGGTACATTAAAGCAACAATCTGAATAAGAGCAACCTGAAGCAATCAGAGGTGTATTACAGAACAGAAGGGCCAGACAGAATTGGAGACTTCTGGGCCACCTTTGCACTGAATTAACGGAGAAGCAATCCTCAGACCTAACAGACAGGGCTGGAGAAGCCTTCCTTCTACTTGAGCATGGCCATTAATGATGAAATGATTAATGGTAGCTATTCCTTCAAAAGGAGACATAAAAGCTCTGACAGACAGCTGTGGACGGGCACCAATGCCAGTCTGCAAACACTCCTCCCATGTCCCAAAGGAGGTGAAGCAAGAGTGTGGTAATGAAACTGCACGTAGTGAAATGGTATCTAAATGAGTTTAAATTGATTTATGTTTGCTTTTGTAAAGATTATTTGGTATCTGGAAAGTGCTACCCATGTGAAATAATGCAGATAATCCTTAAGATCCCTGTCTAATGGCACTCCCACTGAATATTTATATTCCTCGCCATGGGAATGAGTACCATAATGGGGACCATTTTTGTTTTATTAGGGATGCATATTTAAATTAATCTGCTATTTGCCTAAACAATTAGCTGCCTCTGTTTGTTTACACAAAGCCAAAACTGCAATTAGGCTTCCATCAAAAAGATAAGTCCCGACTAAAACTGTCCCGATGGAGTCACAAGGGCTCAGAGCAGAACTTCCCAAAATTACTTCTTAGCATAATGGTAATTATGTTAATTGCTTGAAAGGTAGATAACTGCTGAACTGGTTTTGAAAAACTGAATGCTAGCTTGCATCACAGATGCTTAAAACAAGTTAACAAATACAAATGGACAGCGCAGGCTACAATTCCCTCTGCAGCCTGGTCCGCCCCACACGAAGGCATAGCAGTGGCACTTTTGTGCCTTCACAGCGAGTCCTCGGCTCCAGACTAAAACAAAGGGAATGGGTGAAGTCTCATCTCCAGGACAGCTGATTTAAACATGCAAACAAACAAACATCAATGATAAAAGACTGTAGTGATATCAGATCACAGATGTTAGAACTGGACTTTTTCATCAGATGATGAATATTGCTGCCAAGCTCCTCCAGGCAGGAGTATTTTCAACTTTTTTTTGCAGAACATTTATCCCAATTAAAGACCACTTTTATGAAGGGGAAAAGGAAGCTGATTTGCTTTCAGTGAAGTCTTTTGTTTACACATCTCTCTGATGAGCACTTCACTGTTTTTAACAGAGTGTATTAACTATGAAAGTTCTGCAAAATACAAAAAAATATTCAAGTCAAACAACGCTCTTCTGACCACGCAAGCAAATTGGGAAACACAGAATTCAGAGTTCTGTTCTCCAAATTGGGCAACAAAGCCACTATTATTATTATTGCATCTCAAACATCACAAAAAGAGAAGACAGTGAAAATGCCTCATGCAATTAGTACAACCAGTTCGAGACAGGTACTTTTTTTTTTTTTAAACCAGATGTTCAATAGCAAAATCTGCTCAAAATATCTAAAAATTTTATCAGGCAAATACAGTGTCTGCAACACCTGATAGCACAATGCGGTGTGAAAACACCTCTGGTAATATCAAAACCACAAGTGACTTGTAAGGTCACAAGTCAACATCTGTTTAATGAAGCACAACATAAGGAGTAAGAAGGAGAGTTGAAAAGGAATGTGAAGAGCAAGATAAATACTTTTTTCTTTCATTAGGATGAACAATTATTTGCTTGCAAAAGGATTGCTTGTCCCCCTTGCTTCTCCCCTCCTCCAAAAGAGTGTACGATTCTGTACGTACATCCTCCATCATCTGTTACTTGCTACCAGTCAGAAACTTCCATCACTGTGTGCAAGGACCTTCTGTGAAAATGCACTATTGTCAAAACAGGTATATGCATTCGTGCATGACAGCAGGAAAACACTATCAAGTTTTACACAGAAAAAGCAAACACTCCCACTGCATTTATTATTACTAGTTCTAAAAGTGTTACTCAGAATATTCTGTATTCTGTATTTCATTGCAGAAACAGCAAAATGTATTTATTAGCGTGCAAGCCTTTGCAACAGTCAATCATGTTTGTGTAAGAGCAAAAAAAAAGCCACCGTTACAGTTAAAGTTATTAGTACGGCAACATAAAAAAAAAATAGGCATAAGATTTACCAGTGCAGATGAGATCACTACTTTACATAGTCTATCTTCCTGCCTCCAGCAGTGACCAGTACTTCATTTCCAAAGCAGTATCTTTGCTAAGGTGAAGTTAAGGTTGCAAACATACATTATCTTTATTTTTTGAATACTGTAATCTTGAAAGTATTAGAAAGTCATTAAATCAAAATTATAAGCAATACTTTCACAGCATGCTAAAATCTGCACCACAACTGTGATTATTCCAACTGAACTCTAACAATAACTCCTCAAACCGATTTAGACTTTACAGCTTGCTTATATTTGATCTTGGCTCAAGGAAACGAGTTAAGTGCAAGAAGCTGATGAAGGTGGTGTAATTGCTGACACTTGACATTACAATCACTGTACCAGTCTTCCTGTTTATCACTTTGGCCCAGAATGTACAAAAAATTTAGGTTTGTAATTTCTGTTGTTGAAATGTGGCCTGATGAAAGGTCCATTTATTGCAATTCACTACAGATTGGAAGATATTTGGATAAAACATTTAACTATGAGCCTATTGTCCCTTACACACTGCACTGCTGATTCTGACTGTACTCCAATTTTAGTAAGCATCAGCAAGTCTTACACATTTCCTGCTATATCAAAGGTGAACGGCTAGAAACTGTTCTCCATTAACAGTGCCTGTCTCTAATATATTCCCCTCTTTGGAGCTGGCAGCACAAGACATCCTGCAAAAGCAGCTGGTTTTACATCTGTTTTCACATAGGTGTCTCTGGTATAAAAGGCAACACTTCTGCAACAAAAAAAAAATTATCTGTTTTCATATAAAATACTCTAATCCTGTAACAGGGAAAGGCAGCAGAGGCAAAAAAAGATAAATCACATTTGTAAATATTGTTACTGGCTGTAATACAGCATGTCACAGCTCCTTCTACGAGCTAGTCACAGCAGAGGACAGCTGCCCGCTAGTGCTACCTGCTAACAGCAAACCCTTGGGCTAAGTGGAGGGAGGGCTGTGTTTTCGTGCAGAAGATCCTACGCTCAGATCCTAATGACCCATTACATCAGCTCTTCCACGTTAAGATGATACGGCTAGCAGTTGCTGTCAGCTTCAGAAAAGATGTAGAACGATCTGCATGTGCATTATCTGCAAAAAATAAAAGCAAAGACAGAATTTGGTATATGCTGGAGCAGGGAATCTGGACATGCACATGGTCTTCATGCTCATTCACTTCAGCTTCTAAACACAGCTGTGTGGAAAGGCCAGAAGCTGCTTAATCCACATCATCTACTTGATTTTTTTTTCTGTTTGTAGGTCACGGTCTTGCCACTTCCTACCTTGATTTAAACAAAATCAAATTCTTCTTCACCTTTTGAAAACACTTCTTAAATGTAATTTTTCCTCTAAGCTGGGAACATTAATTTACTTCCTTATAATTTTCAGATAACATCATACTTCTATGAAGTAGAGACAGTTAACAAAAACACACAGGTGGAAATGAGCACCAGTCTGAAGTCTCAAAGCTGCTTATCTTGAATTTCAAGTTTCTCCCAAGAACATTTCTAGTCAGAGGGACCACCAACACACAGCCAACTTGACCCTGGTAGATGCTTGGTGTTTCTTAACTAACGTTTTACATTTTATTTTCATGGCAATGCTGGTTCTCAACTTCCAGCACGCACAGCAAGCTACTTACCACACTTAACAGCAAGAGACTAGACCTCAGTCATAAGAGTCATGCCTTTATGTTACCGTTACCACATCAGTTTCCACCAAATGTTGTCAGGTTTCATCTCCACCAGTCTTCTTACAGAGATTTCCAAATGACACCGTCCCTGTACAGTCCCTCAGAAGAGGCACAGATGAGAAAGTGTGTATTTTGTTCCCAACTTGGGGAATCAAGAGGCAGACTTCCCTGACCATGACGTGACATCACACACCATTTACTCAAATGAAGAGTTCTGCATCCACAGCCATCTGTACGTATCTGATGGGAATAAATACATTACCACATGCTACATGCGGTTTTCTTCAAAAACTTTTTCCTTTATTTGAGTCAGCCTGTTTCCCTGCTCTTGCTATCTTACAGCATGCCCTGGCACTTAGGGGAAGACTCCAAACACATTACTCCATTTCTGTCTTTGCAAAGAGGGTACAGAAGGGACAACACCCGCAAGCAGCTTTAAGGGCATCAGAATGGACAAGACAGCAGATTTCTAGTCCCAGAAAGTAGCGTTGCCAAAATTCCTTTCTTGGAGCCTGCCAACAAGCAAGAGTATTTCTGATCCCTGCAGAAACCACCTTCCTTTGCTCCATGTTGCTACTTTGCAGCTTGTGAAGCACCACTAACTCCTCCCAACAGGTCTCAAAGCACTACCATGAACAGGGACAGTGTGGCATCTCCCCGCCATGCCTACATGAGTATGAAGCACAGCATTTAAAAAAAGTATGTTCTCTTGTTGCAGCACATTGTTTTCAAGTCAAACTATGAGACTCGGGAGGGCAGGGGGGAGGGTGATGGCTAAAGTAGACTGCTGTTTCCCAAAAGCTATGGCTCACAGCCAAAGTCAGGCAAGCATGGAGCAGATGGAGTCCTGGCAAGGCCTCTACTGTCCCTGCATTAGCAGCATCTGCTCATTACCCAGAACCCTCGCCTGCTTTATCTAATGCTCCAGGAAAAGCATTTTGATTTGATTCATTTCAATTCGGTAACGTGCAACACAATTAGTGGTAAAATCAAACTGGAGGACTGCCAGTGCTGACAATAGGAAACAAGGCAGAAGAAATATGAGGCCAGTGGGTTGGAATTCAAAAATCACAACTGTGGATCAAGTTGCCAAGTCCCGTTGCCCCAGGTGTACATACAGTGCCCCCACTGAGCACTGGCATGGGCGGAGGGAACTTCATTTTCTCCCCATACATTTTTCTCTCATTTACCTCTCCTTACAGCTTGTTTCTGAGAGGCTGATGCCGTCAGAAACGTTCACCAGAAGTCACAATCCAATTTTTCTTTAGTGCCATCATGGAGTTACAATTCACTTTGGATGCAGGCATCCCAGTACGACAAATCTTTTTCCTTGCTGTATTTCATATGCCTTGGGAAGTGTTTGCCACTACCGAACCAGCAAAACAGTGCTGTAAGGCAGACACGGCGTGAGCAGAATCTGCCTGTTAGTTCTTCCCTGTGATCGGATGCCAAGGACATCGCTGCATGAGCTCTGTTGAACTGGGAGAAACTGATGTTATCTGAACGAGTCTGCTAGCCAGGGATTCGACAGAGAAGTCTAGACTCTTTGCCTGACAGCACCACCTCCAACACTAGCAGATGGTTTCTCTGTGTTAGTCAAACTTACAAACAAAGAGAAAAAGGAGCTGGAAAAGTACAACAAAGAACAATCAAACATATTATCTTTAAAGTCTTCCTCCCCTTTCCCAAGTTTAAAATAATTCTCTCCAAACTGTAAACATACACTTTTAGATTCCAGTTAGTAAACATTTCTAAAATCAGTGTTTATAATTCCCTATTCACATAGAAACTAATCTATTCTGACCAGGCTTCTCAAATCAAGAGTAACTGCCATATCACACAGCCCATTAAAATTTCTACCCAAAAGAAGAAAAGACACCGAGCTTTATGCAAACTAGTTTAGTCACAGCACACACAGGACTGATGACAAGGAATATGACAGGAAAAAAAACCCCTAGACAAATTATTAGTCAGTCGCAGACTAGAAAACAAAAGACCCTCTGCTAATCATTGTTTCGTACATTGGACAGAGGGCCAACACTTAAAACTATCACCGTGTTATAATTTCCTATGACTCGAGTAAGTAATATTAATGAGTATTCTGTAATACCAGACTTGCTGTTGTCAGAAAGCGCTACCTATCAACAATTTTTAGCCACAGAAAACCATTCTAGCATAATCCATGCTAGAAAAACAGATAAGGATGTTGATCATCTTAAAACAGTTGTTTTCACATATAAAGCATTTAATTTACTTATAAAATATATGGATTAGAGATTTGGTTTGGATTACCCATCTTTGGTCCTGTTTCCACATGCAGAAATGCTAAGATCAAAGACAGTATGAGTACAAAGTTCCCTAATGTTAAAAATACTCTTTATTCATACCTGAGGTTTTTAAGTGTCAAATCATACATTTTAAAGAAAGATGACAGCAGTTGAGTTCTGCCCAAGCACCTCAGCCTAGGATCCCAATTGGGTAGCACTGTCCAAACCTGACTTTTTAATTGCTGTTCTCATGTCCAGTAGATGTACAGTTGGTCTCTGGCTCTTGTTGCCTGTTATATAAACATCTAAGTATATTTAAAACAATGCATATAACCAGGATTGTATTACAGTTTCATTAAATACTAGGTCACAGCTTTTATTTCTCTATATCAAAGTATATAATAACACACCATTGCAAACCAATACTTCAGTTAAGAAAATGTGCATCCATACACTATGCCAAGAGCAAGAGAGGATGCAGATTAATCAGACATGCAAGTTTACCAGTATTCCCATAACAAAGCCTCACAGCATCCCAAGGGAGTTTTGGACAGAGGAGAAGGCTGGTGGAAGAATATTTAATATTTTTATAGCAAAACAAGTTATTTGCTTAAGATAGTTTGGCTGGACTACAGCCTGGCACTCAAGCTTTGCATAGCAGTTCCAGTAGGAATTAAACATCAGTTTTAATGGGTGCTATGTTCCAATGCCTCCTAATGCATTTAGGGTTATTGGCCAACTTTCTCACATAAAAGCAAGTGTGTGCGTGTGTGTGTATACACAGGATTACAGACACACAAAAAGCTGAGCACAGCTGCTTCATTTTTGTAAAGCCTTTTTTTCTTTTTTTTTTAAAATAGGGAGGAGAGTTGTGGTTACTTACCGTCCTCGTAAGCTGCTACAGCCAGAGAGCTGTTTATCCTCACAAAGGAGACATGTGGCTGAGGTCCAGCATCACCAGGACTGTGTATTGGTTCCAGGATGGGGGCTGTGTAGTCCCAGGTGCGAGTGTCCCACAACCTCACTTCTCCTGATGTATATCTGGAAAAGAAGGCTATTATTCATCCCAAAACACCTGAAAAGAGGTAGCTGCAGGAGAAGGGAGGAAGAAACAAGAAATGTCTTAAAGCCCAACGACTTTTACAGCTCCTAGACTGATTCTCCTCCTGTTTACACAATCTGTGTACAAACCCATCAACTTTGCTCATTTTATTCCCATTTACCGATTGCAGCATCAAGTCTACTAAGACGGGCAGGTATACTGGAGCTACAAGAACGGCATGGCTGAACTACCACGGGTTACGCTACCAACTATCAATATTAGCTTTACATATAGAATGCAAGGAGGCCTGGGCTCCAGGGAAAAAAGGTAATCAGTAATGAGTCTAAATTACATCATGGCAAAACTTCAAACTGTTTCCTTTCGGTCTTTAAAAATTCGTGATTGTGGTTGTGCCAAGGCAAGGCTGTTTAATCAGAGCATTATGTACATACGTACAAGCACGCACATGCATACACCCATCCAGCTTACTGCTCTTTATAGACAGAAACTTCTTAATGCCTTGTCAACTGACCAGATTTGCCTACATCTCTGAAGACTAATTAATTTATTAATACAATTAAGTGTTGTATTTAGAACTAAGGCAGTGCTGCCTTCTTTCTCACTGAAACATCCGAAAAACTACAGTTTAACATCAAACTATAGTTTGCCAGTGAGAAAATAAAAAACAGAACTAAACTTCTCAGATAACACTGAATATATCTGAATGAACAAAGGTTGTAACACAGCAAGCAACACAGAAACTGTCCTGTGGCATCTATACTGTGGAACACAACACACTATTAGAGAAAAAAAACACTGCAGGCCAAGTAGAGAAGCTCCCTCTATGACTGGTCAAAGAACACAGTTCAATAGTTACTTGGAACAGTTCAATAACTATTTAAGATAAGTTTTGACAGAACTGTGACAATTAACACTGTCAAACAGTCCCAGATGTCTTTCTCTGCCATACCCAGGACTTGGATTCTGTTGGAAAATGAAGGGTGCTTCCTGCTCTGTCAGCTTTATTGTTATCTCCCAACTTTTTTGGGAAAAATATTTCAAAAGAATGATTCTTACAAGCCTCAAAGGTCTACTGGTTAGAAATCTGGCTCTCCTATGTTTATGAGGAAAATAAGAAAATAGTTATTTACAAAGGAGGTGAAGGAAGGTGCTTAATAAAGGTTTAGATGTTGGACTTCTGACTCAGGTCACCCAGGTCTTTGGGGAGTACCATGCAACAGGACTACAGGTACTCTGGAGCAGATTTCTTCCAACATCTCTGAGTGAAAATGCTCCACTTTATACAACTAATTAAAGTACCTGAGGGGATGGTGATATCTGTCAAGCAGAACGAGATGCACATTAATTCTCTGCACCACATCATGAAGAGAACTGTGTCCCTGTCACCCGGCTTTCTCTTCAGTGCTTTACATGGTAAGACAGAAGAAAATGAAAGAATAGGGTGGGACAGCACTTCTCCCTTTTCCTCCTGCAAATGAGGCCCAAATCCCTCTATGAATCTTGCTTTCATTTCCAATTTACAGCAGCATTATTTAAAATGAACAGATCAAGAAAGAAGCTTCCCCAAAGCAAAGCTAAACATTTCATGTTGGACCGAATAAGCAATCCAGATTAGTCCACAACAAACATCTTCAGTTTACAAAACCGAAAAGTGCTCATTTCAGATACATTTTAAAATATGGAGATAAAACACAACGGGACATGTAATTGCACAGATCTGTTGCAGTCCTATGCAACAACACACACACACACCATTTTGGAATCATTTTAGTTTCGAGCTGCTTTTCATTTCCCTTTATGTCTGGGCTGGTTTGGGTCATGTTTTCAAACTTCTCCTAAGTGCAGAGAGGAACAGATTATTCTCAAGGGAGAAGACAAAATTATCTTGTCACTATGTGACCCTGAAAAGTTGAGTTTCAAGGGAGACATAAAAGACTGGCAGAATTGACAGAACTAAGTGACAGAATATTAATTTTCATCCGCAAATAAGCAAGGAAGAATAGCATCTCCTCCTACTGCATATACATACTTGCTCTCACATAGTCCAGTCTAGGAATGTAAAAAGAAAGACTAATAGATGGAGAAAACAGAATGACAGGAATAGAGATGAGACACAGGGCTGGCTAATTCTCTGAGCACACTGCTTCCAGTTTTCTATGTAGCATGCAACACAAGTGATCCAGGGCTCAAGCCACGCTACCATCCATAAAAAAATAACATGGACCACAACCTTGGAATTAAAGATCCAACATCACAGTACCACAATAAGTGCTTTAATTTTTTCTGATAATTCAACCAAGTCAAAATTTAGTTTGAACCATTCTTTGTTCTTGAAGAAGAACCTGAACCACCTCTACAGCTAAGCTCAAACTGGAATAGAACTACCAAACGTTTCTGACTATCAGTTTGAAATAAATTTGACTCAAATTCCAACGTGTTCGTGCTAGGACCTGTTAAACGCAGGAACTGTCTCTGCTCAGTAAGCTCTGCATCAGACCACCCAGCAGCCTCCTCATCCTCACCCCCTTCCTCTCCAGTGATGGATAGGTACATGCTGAAGAGCTTTCACTTCTATACCATGAAGCCATGCTGCTCTCCCGCCCCTAGCAAGGACCTGTGGTACACAGGAGCTTGATACGTGTACCTCAGCTACGCTCTAGTGGGTTCAGACAGATACCACAGAACAATCCATAAGAGGATCCTGGCCATAGTGCTCATTCCGGTTCCATCATGACATAGAATGGGGAGCACTGTATGTGCCAGGAGAATGCTGCAAGCACCCACCAAACCCTACCTTTGTGTGTGTCTGTCCAGAAATCCCACCAGTGCACTGCAAGATAGGACAAGCGCTTTATGTTCACCAGGAAGAGGAGGGAGGAGGGCAGTAAGGCATCCTTGCCCCGATCCCTCCCATATCCCTCCTACCCCCACTTCTCACTCAGCAACACCACTCACATCCTTCCCAGTGCAGCATGACAGCAGATCAGTCCCATGTGGCAAACCTAAGGATTTGGAGAAACGTTACAAGACCATGCTGGAAACATAAGTGGAGGTCTAGGTTTGGGCAGGGAACCAGCATGGGGAAATGGGAGATATAAACCATCTCCTCAGCTGACAACACACTCCGTTGGCCATCACCACTGCATGCCCATTTCCAGCATACACTGGGCCTGTACCAGAACTGAACTGGAAGAATTTCAAACACAGATGAATCCAATTCAGAACAAAAAAACTTAATGGTTCAACTCCCCACTTTTAATGCGGTTGTAAAGAGCACCACACTTTCAATTTGTAACCACAACAAAAGGCTTTTAAACTATTAAAGCATTGCCTTGCCGTAAAAAAAATAAAAAGGCTGCTTTATTGCAGATAATTGGCAAATCTGCCATATCAATATAGATGGCTGAAGAGAAGAACACGCTGCACTGTACAGAACCTATTTCTAGATAATTTCAGTATTTCTATTCATTTCCTACCACAACTTTTACACTTCGTCATGAAAATCTAGTTTGGATTACCAGCTACTGAATGAAAGAACCCTATATTTAAATCTTCTGCCCCAGAACAGACACAGCCCTCCAAACTCATTCAGTTACTGATTTTTCTATCAAGACGGCTATGAAAGGCCCACATAGCTTTCTGCTGGAGTGAAAAAAAAAAAAAAAACCCAAACCAAAAAACCAAACCTTTCTGTTTATTATAACAATAAATACATTATATTTGCTATAATACCAACAGCATTCAGCTGCTTCTCGCCCCCCCCCCCCTCCCCCCCCCCCCCCCCCCCTGCCCCGGTGGGTGTACTGAGATGATTATTGCAGTGGCAGGTAAATACCCCAACATCTAATATAAGCCACTTGCACAAAAAAAAAACCCCAGACCCCCCAAACCAACCCCAAAACCTACAAATTCTGAGTTCAAGTTCAAAGAAAAAAACAAAACAACATATTAGAGACCATACCTGATTTACTGCATTTAGAAAGGCTGTTCAAAGTCTTGCTTTCCCGAGCACAACAGGGAACAACAAGAAAAAGACTGTTGCTTACAACCCCAAGTTTCCCCCTCTCCAGATACCCCCTGCCCTGATGCCTTCCAATGTGTTTCATCCACCTGGCTTTCAGGTCTGGGTCTGCGTGCTTCTCTCCCTATTCACCAGTCATCCTTCCCTTAGCATTCAACAGAGACTCTCCACCCAAGTAACTCAGCTTCTTTGATCGACTTACATTTCACTTTGCTCTTGTTCTTCTAAACATTTCAGCGTATACACATGAGAAGTAGCAGCAGGAGAAAGACAAGAGCTATATTTGTCTAACTCTACTTCTCCTTGACAAGCCAGTTCTGTAATTCTGGACAGATATGTATACCTCTGTAAAAATTAGCCTGCAAATTCAGCTTAAGCTTTACAGATATGCATAAAAAACTTGCTGAAATGGAGCAACAATAGGTGGAATGCATATGGTATAGAGAAACTGAAAAAAATTAAATTCATATGGCATCTACAAATGTACCATAATAAAAATACCTACTCAGTAATAAAAAACATTTCAACTACTTTTTATTGGCAGTGATGTCATAATGAGATGAACAATTTCCTTGTGCCCTCTCACATGAGTGAAAGCAGAAGACTGAAGAAGAAGGAGCTGGGGGTTAAAAGCTGCTGATGTCCCACAATGGCTGGGAAGCAGGTGGTGAAGTGCAGAGCACATGTGGGAGGAAGCAGAGATGGAGGCTGGGCACCGCTCTAATGAAGTGGTGCTGAAGAGGCAGACGATTTCATAAGGAGAAAAACATCAGGAAACTGGTCAAAACACAGAATCCCATCTGAAAAAGCTCAACTGTGTTGGATAGCAATAGCCAAAACAAATTTGGGGAAGAGGAGGAGGGGGAGGCTGATCTCTCTCCAGAGCCCCAGATGTCTTTATCGTTGCCTAATGACAATTATACTCAACCAATTAAGACACTGCTATCACAGTTGCAT